CCTTTGAGACCCTTAATTGCAGCACCCCTATAGTATCCTTACAGAACCCTTAAAGGGACCCTCGTAATACCCTTATGGTATCCTTAAATAGACCCTTATACTACCCTATCCTTATAAACCCTTAACTGGACCTTAAAGTAACCTTAGAGGAACCTCCCTTTAAGACCCTCTCTATATGCTCCGAAGGCCGGCACAGCATCTCAGCGTCCAGAGGGCGGATGGCCAGGAGGCGGCAGGGGAACCTCGTTTTCAGATGCAAGGCTTTGGGGATCTGCTTATAGAGCCCTTTAAGGATCCCTTCCAAGGAACCCTATTCCGATTCCAATTAAGCCCCCTAACATAGAACCCTACTATAGATCCCTTAGTTCCCCAATAAGCACGGAAAAGAAGGTTAACTTTTCCGGTTACTACTAAACTATAAGAGCCCAAAAAGTTTAAAGCATGGGCATTGGGGAACTAAGGATGCAATGCTTTTGGGATCTGCTAGTTGCGGGTTCCTTTACAGGGTTTGTATAGGGCTCCTTTAACGGTTCTATAAATGTTCTTCAAGGTTTAGGGTTTGTGACTACGAATGTCTACACTGAACATGTGCTGATGTAAGGTAGCAGTTCGAGCGACTCGCTGTTCAACGGCTTCCGGGTAAATGTCCAACAGGCGGGTGAAGGCAAGCTTTTATCACAGCTGCCCACGCAGATTTGACCCCGCCAAGCTTTCTCCAGGACAAGGTTTTGCGGAGGCGCTTGATGTAAAACGCCCTTTTGTCCAGAAGTACATCTGTCGCATTCTCGACCACGTTGCTGACGCGCACTGTGTAGGATTTTCGGCCATGATTGTTGCGGGCTTTCATGGGGTATGCTGCAACTGGAATCTCCAGCTTAACGAGGTCGTACGACTTGAAGGTTGTGGGCTCTCCTGGCTCCTGCAAGCAGCACGATATTACTTACCTTAACCTGACCAAAACCTGCTTTTTGTAGGGTCCGTAGAGATGCCAGAATTTTATTTTTATAATAAGAACCTACAAAGAAGTGGGGATTGGTGGGATAAGGTAGAATCTCCAAGATACCTACTTGCTCAGTCCCCATTAGAAAGAGGGGGGCTCTCTGTCCGAGCCTCAAACGCAACCCTTCGCCAAGAATCTTGAAAGCCCTTTGGCCTCTTCAGCGCTTAAGCTCAGACCTCAAACCCCCCAAAATTTATCTGATGGGAGGCCAAAAGGGGGGTTTAAGATTCTTGGGGTAGGGATTCCTTATTACGAACCCCATTATGGGAACCCTAATCCCTACTAAACCCCCATAGGCTAAACCCCTTTTGGCCTCCTATGATTATCAGGGTTTGGGCTAGGGGTTTTGGGATTTGTTTGGGGCTGAAGGCTTGTGGTTGCGTCCCTAGGGTTTGTGGTTTGCAGCGCTGAAACCAAAAACCCAAGCCGTAACAGCAAAGCAGGGTCACCGACCCGAGTCCCTCCTGGCCCTTTGTAAAACCTTATCAGACAAGGCCGAATGACATGCCAGATACGCGCTTGAGAAAATAGGGGACCCTGCTGTAGAACCCTTAAATAGTGGGAGGCTTACGTCAAGAGCTCTAGACCAGGTCAAGTCCAAGAAGAGATGTTGCATAACAACACTTAAACTAGGGTTTCGGGCTAGCGTGCCTTAAACTCCAGAAGTCTTCATTCATGGGGGTTTCCGAAAATTGGGGGCCCTAGTAGCCTGAACAGTAGGATCCTTGTTATAAGGATCCCCAAATAAGGCACCCCTAATGTTAGGAAACTCCTTTAAGGCCTAAACCCTAAACTCTAAACCCCAAAAGTCTTTATACTAATAAGGATCCTACTTTTTAGTTCCCTATTTTTGGAAAAAACCTCCCAGAAGTCAACTTTTGAAGGGGATGATGCGACGGGCCGCCTCAGGATCCACTCCCGCGAGGAAAGGTCTCGCTCCTTGCCGCTAAAGGAACTGACTTTTTGAGGAGTTGACAAAAACTCTGGTTTAAGGTGGTTCTAACGGAGTTTTATGGTGTTGTCAGACGGTGTGTTAACATTTAAGGGGGTTTTAGGGGTTTTTGAGTGTCCTAAAAAGGAATTAGAGTGTTCTTAAACTGTGTGTTTTACGGTTACTGTGTTTGGAGGTTTAAGAGGGCTTTACCCTAAACCCTAAACCCCTAGACGGGCATGGCTACGCTTCTTAACTGGGAATAAGGACTTCTGTCAGGACTTTTTCAGGAGCCATAGCGGAAGGGTAGGTTTCTTACGGCTAGAGTCTAGTCGAGGGTGAAGCATTTGCATCGAAGATCCTGCGTTTACAGGCAGGCGGGTTGCATAGATTGGGTTCAGCTGGTACGCCGTAGGCAGAATAGGGTTTAGGGTGCAGGCTGACAGTGCTGTCATGTGGGTAGTTGTCCAAATTAAGGTCCCTCTTTGGGTGCCGTAAATAATAGGTGCCGTATTGTAATAGGGACCCAAAAAGGGACCGTTATTTTGACAACCACCCATCTGAAAGCTTGAACCTACTTCGGATGGGAGTACTTGGAGGTTCATGGGTACTTAGAAGTGGGGTTATAAGTAGGGTAACTATAACCATAACTCCTAGCAGGAGGCTTGTAACCGAACTTATAACTACCCATGAACTTCCAAGTAGGGAAAGGTATTGGCATGTGCTGAATTGGGTGACCAGCTTCGCATAGCTATAGAAGCTTGGTGTTCGGGATTTGCCTCCGTTTTATGGTGCTGTGCAAACCCAAATGCAACGCCCATGCATGCGGGACGCGGGCAGTTGCCAGGTTTCAACAAACTTCTCTTGAAGCTGTACAACGAGGGCGCTAAGCCCGGCTTTCCAAGTGTAAAAAACCTGCTGAAGGAACCCACGGTTCTTACGCGGATCTTGATGTGATCCCTATTTGGGATTTAGGGTTTAGTGCCCCGCCACCCCACCTGGCGTATCTAGCGTAGATGGCACCTGACTTTGGTTAAGCACCTAAGCACTGAACACTTGATCTACTGGGTGCCCATGCTGTCGGACTCGTCATCGTCCTCGGTGCCTGGCGCAAAACTCTCGGCAACACGAGCACAATGCATCTCGGGACTGTCTACACTTTGTTGATTCATCCCGTGTAAGCAAAACCTGCCACCCAAGACACTCAGACTCGCAACAGTACGTAGGCTTACGGTTTAGGGTTTAAGTATACCCTAGCGACCTGGTTATGAATCTCTGGCATGCGTAAGGGACTAGCGGGGAACAGAGCCAGAGACGGGCGGCGCTCCGCAACAGCCCCACAAAAGCCTCAAAGCGACGCCATAGCAACCCGAAGCCCTAAACATCTTTAAATTTATAACAGCCCTAGACACCCTAAACCCTAGAAGCCCTAAACCCTACAACCCTAAATCTCAAAATATCCTCTCATATACCATTTAGAGACCCCAAACCCTGAATTTCAACATGCCCCTAAACCATAAAACGGCCCTACAGATCCCTTTACAGGAATCTAAAGTACCCCAAAACCCTGTAAAAACCCAAAACCCTAAATCTCCAACTATCACCAAAACCACCCAACAACCCAAAAACCCAACATCTCAAAATACCCGAAACCTGAAAATCCCAAATCTCAAAATACTTCCTAAACCCTAAACCCTACGTCCTACACCAAAAAAACACCCCACGCGTCGCCTGTGAGGTGCAAGGTTTCCACCTGGCCCGGCACAGGCGGCGAAACCACGGCTCGGTTCTTGTTTATAGAAGTTGTATAGGGGTTGGTCCTAAACCCTAAACCTTAAACCCTTTTTGCCCTAAGTTGTTTAGAGGTCTAGCGCAATTCAAAGCTTTCGGCTCAGACTGAGGGCTCCCCCATGTACCCTTTAGTAGAGGTCCTGGGGTTTAGGGTTTAGGGGTTTAGGGGTTTCAGGGTTTAGGGGTTTAGGATTAAGGGGTTTAGGGTTTAGGGGTTTAGGGGGTTCAGGGTGTAGGGGTTTAAGGTTTAAGGGTTTAGGGTTTAGGGGTTTAATTCGGGGTTTGGGGGTTTAGGGTTTTAGGGGTTTTGGGGGTTTGGGGTTTAGGGGTTAGGGGTGAGGGGTTTAGGGTTTAGGGGTTTAGGGGTTCAGGGTTTAGGGGTTCAGGGTTTAGGGGTTTAGGGCTTAGGGGAGGGTTTTCGAGTCGAACAGGCAAGCTGGGTTTGGGAGGTTTTCCGCCCGCGAAAGGAGGGTTTTCGAGTCGAACAGGCAAGCAGGCGTTTGACTGGGGCGCAGCGAAAGGTCACCTGGGCGGTGTAGGGTTTAGGGTTTAGAGGTTTAAGATTTAGGATCTAGGGTTTAGGGTTTTGGGATTTGGGGTTTAGGGTGTAGGTTTACTTAGGAGAAAGGTTGCGGTTTCGCGCTAAGCGCTCGAGCCAGCCAAAATCACAAAGTTCAACTGTTGGCCGAGTCTTACTGTGCATCTTATTCCAGGACGAAGCGGGTAAGCGCTCCTAGCATGTCTCGCACGAATCTGCCTCCCTCAGTCTTTTTTGTCCCTGACGACTGCGGTCACGCTCCCACCGGCTGCAGAGCCCAGCGACGATTCGAAGCGTTAGAGGGCCTGCGCCACGTGCTGACGTACCCCGTCGGCGCCGGCGGGGACACTGTGGAGCTGCCGAGTTGGCAAAGCCGGGTCGTGTCCGTCAGCTGTACTACGACTTGCGCAGGAAGATAGAGGATCTGGATACTATATTCTGACGTACTACCGACTGCCCGGCTCGGCGGCTGTTCATCCGCACCTCGTGAAGGTTGGGGTGGTAGCTCCACACCACTTCTTGGCCCAGCCACGAGAAAGGGCGGTCTTCGCCTGGGCGATTCTGAAGGACCGGATCCTCGCTCCATTTCTTTGAGTAAGATCGAAACGCACCACCGGGCGTCGGCGCGCCGGTCGTCGTTCAAGGAGGTTCCGTGGATCCTTCGCCGTTCATCCAAAGGTCCGGGACTAGGATCTATGTCAGGTCTGGGGCAGGAGCCGAAGGTCGTGGGCAGAGCCGTGCTGGAGGGAGTCGTGGAGCCTCAGCTCGCAAGGAGTGCTGGATGACGAAGCTTCATTTTCCTCGAGGCTTCCACGAGGTTCGATCTGCGCAGCGCATCCTCGTCTGTCTCCTCCTGACGAGCGAGGCGAGCGCAGCACACGAACCTCCGTCTTTGATGATCGTGCCTCCAAGCAGATCGAGCAAGGACCTGTGAGCTTGACGCCGTAGAGACGCACCTCGGCGTGAGACGAACGACGATTCGACCGAGAGCTTCGACACTTCGCTTGGACTAGAACGATGTGCAGTTCACGGATCGGCAGCACGGACACGACGGCATGGTGACCTCGATCGAGCGACAAATCCGAGCTTAAGCTGCAACTTAATCGGAGCCATGGCAAATTTGGAAAATTCCTCGCTGAGCATGGAGCGCAGCGGCCGAGGAACTCACCTGGCACGCAGAGCTGTGTTGTACAACTGCAGAGCAGAAAGAGCAATCGAGGCTTGGGTCAAGACGCAGACTGTGCTGCCCGCAGGTTAGTTGCTTAAACCAAAGGCTGCGGCGGACGTTGGCATCGCTAGTTTTGGTCGCAATGGGATGCGAGAACTCGCTACCAGACGTGTCCCTGTCAGTCTCGCTGGCTTTCCCCGAGCAGTTGCAGGTTGCTCGTTTTCAATCCGCATGCATAGGAAGATGTTGTATCACTGCCCCGCGCTCACACAGCAGCTGGGGCCTGAGACAGGTCGACCGTTCGAGTTCTGCGAGGAAGACGAAGCCCCGTTGCGAGGCTGCTGCAACATCGTCGTCCTCATCGGATGCGGCCATGAATGCAGGACGCGTACGGATGAACCCGCCTGCAGGTAGCTCAAGGGCACCGCGTCGACGATGCAGATATGGATGCTGTGCTGCTCATATGCCTTGGTGCAACTAAATCACAATCTCCCGAGGCGAGAAGTCGAGGCCTCCTTGATGTAATCGATCTCGTGCCGGAGGTCTTCGGCCTTGACGTACTCGTTGGTACCGTCATTGCCTTCGGCGTCTGGCATGCGATGCGAGTGAGTGCTCGATTCCACATTTCTTTCTGAACCTTTGAAGGAACTTTGTGCCCAACTCCAGATTTCGGTTTATCTTATCCCTTTCTGCGACCCCTCTGAGGAAGCGCCAGCGACGATCAGCATGACCCGGCTGACGTCCTGAACGGGCGTTTCGAAGCCGCAAGAGCCGTTATGTTTCGTCCTGCCGATCCTGCAGCGACGGCGCATCCAGTAGCTTCCGCAAGTGACGAGCGAAGCCACCGCCGTTAAATCCTCGTCCCCACGCCGGATGTACCGGCACGGGGACTAAGGAGTCGGCGAGGCGGCCGCGGTCGCCGGCACTGCGCTGCTTGGCCTTCGGCGTCCGATTAGAATACAACGGCCTTGTGTTTCGGATCTGCAGGCCTTAATCTTGGAGACCGTGCAGAGGGTGGAGTCGGAGATGACGAGGTCAAAGCCCTGGCACAATGAAATATCCAGAAGACCGACGAGAAAGGGCAAGTGACTGCATTCTTCACAGTGTCGCACGGTTTGGGTGCCAATAAGTTTTGACCGAAACGTTTCGACCGAAACGTTTTGACCGAAAGTTTTCCGACTGAAGCCTGATTTTGGAATGAGCGGAAAGGGCTGGGCTGGGGCTGGGGGCTGGCTGGGCGTGGGCCTCGGCTTGGGCTGGCTTGGGCCCTGGCCTGGGGGCTGGGCTGGGCTGGGGGCGTTGGGCAGAAGTTTTGGGCTTGGAACCGAGTTGGAACCTGATTTGAAATTGGGGGAGTTTTGTGTCTGGGGCTGGGTTGGGTTTGAAATTGACGGTTTAGGGAGCTCAACGGTTCAGGGGTTCAGGGTTTTTTTTTTTTTAAGCACCTTTTTCCGTCAGGGGTTTAGGGGTTAGGGTTTTGGTCCACAATAGTGTTGGGGGTTTGGGCTAAGGTTAGTCTTCTGTTTCACTGTTTTAAGGCTTAGGGCTCCAAGGACGTAGATCGGACCCAAAGTTCGCACTGTGGTTGAACTTAAGGGTCTGGGGTTACGGTTTAGGGGTTTAAGGGTGTAACTTAAGGACTTAAGGAGCTGGCGATATCTGTTGGCAGAGGCTTATCTCCGAGATACTCGCTCGTTGTTCGGGAACAAGGAATGACGAATGCTACATGGCGCTTGTGGGTCATTGTTTATGATCACACATGGGTAGCTGTCAAAAATATGGTCCCTTTTTGATCCTTATTATATTACGGCACCTAATATTTAGGGTACCCAAAAAGGGACCATACTTTTGACAACCACCACATGAATTAAGCCTTTTGTATGTCTACCCCCCGCATCTCGACCCTCAACCAAAATACTATACCGAACTTAGAACCCTAGAACAATTACAGTTTTAGCTGTTTCTTAGGGATTATAATTATAATAACCAAAAATTAAAAAATATTTCTAAGTATCCCTAAGAATATCTCAAAACCTGACCTTTGAGCTGGTGAATGGGATGCCCAATAGCCTAGGAACAAAAAGCGCTCCCTTTTTGGTATTCGGCAACTTTATACGGAACCTAGGACTACAAAAAGGGAATAAGGGTACTACTGGGCATCCTAGAATGGTACCTGTTCTGGGCTATTTGATGGGAGTTTCCGAGAACAGGGGACCCTAATATAGTACCCCAAATAGTAGGATCTTTAGTATAAGGACCCCAATATCCTAGAACACAACAAAGCCGACTCGACCCTCTTCCCAAGCCACGAGTCCCGAGCCGCCCCGAGCCCGAGCCTATGCCACGTGGTGCGAACCTTGTAGATCTCTTTAAGCCGCAATGTCACCCGACGCCCCTAAACCCTAAATTACTAAACCTACGCCCCTAAACCCTAAACCGTAGATCCTCCGGTTTGCGGTTTAGGGATGCAGACGCGCATTAGATCCAACCGCTCTAACCTCAGTCGAAACAGAATTGCAGTTTCGCATGCCCTTAAACAGGTCCAAACCCTAAAACATTCAGCTCATGCCGAACTAAGTACTCGAAGCCCTCAGACTGCGTAGATCGGAACTAAAAGCGCGTAACTTCAAAAGCCGAAGAAAACACATCCGAAGCTGATATTAAACATTAAATCTCCAAAACCTAAACCCTTCTGATGCTCCTCAAACCCTAAATACTAAATCCTTCCGATGCGCCTCAACCTTCTATTTCTAGGTGCAACCTTCTGAGTAGTGTGGAATCTAAACCGTTACTGTAGGGGCCCTTAGATCGCTTTAATATTAGAATAGGGTTTTGTGGCCCATAAAACCATAGTTGCAATAAGGAATAGTATAGGTAATTATGAATTAAGGCCCCTATGTCACTGATCTAATGCAGAGACCGCTGAGTGCAGCCTTGGCGAAGAGGATGAGGGGGATGTTGGATCTCCAGCCTCAGACTCTTGCTTGGGCGTTTCCGAAAATAGGGGGATCCTTTAAAGGGTTCCTTTAAGGGATCCATAAGGTTTCTATAAAGGGTTTAGGGTTTAGAGTTTCCGAAAATGGGGGACCCTGACTTAGTACCCTAAATAGTAGGATCCTTATTATAAGGACCCCAGAATAAGGTACCCCCCTATTTTCGGAAGCCCCCACTTTCGGTTTCTGTTTAAAAGCGCAGGGTTTTGGGGTTTTGGGGCTTTAGGGCTTTAGGGCTTTCGGGTTCAGGAATCAAGGAGTTTAGGGTCTTGGATCAAGTTTAGCGCGTTTCTGGGGCTTTGAGTTTTAGTTGCTGCCTTGTTTGCTGCGGGGTGGGGGTAGGGGAGGGGTGGGCCTTGGGTGTTTACGACTTGGCCTAATGATGGGTTATCTCGCTTAGCTGGCAACTCGCACTTTTGGGGTTGGGTGGTTTAAGCTTAGGGGCGTGGCATTACGGTCATGGGGGCAGCATGTAGCAAGAATCAAAGAGTTCATGGTCATGTATAAATAATTTCGCGAAGGGTCCAACAAATTGCCCGAATAGCCGAGTTTAACCGAGACCATTCAGAGTAGAGCAGGGGGGATACGAATCCCCCTCACTATTTGGCTTTTCGCGTGCTTCGACTAAAGGAGCCCACAAAGAAACTCTAAGCCAATATGGGGGCTTAAATAATTGCCTACACTATTTGTGGGGGTTCCTTGTTATCACTACAGTATAATAGGCCCCAAAGCCCTATTCTAATGATTAAGGCCCCTATGGTAAGCCCTGCATAAGATCCCCGAGGCCGATACGGATGAGACTGGCACCTGGCCGGGCGAAAGGGTTTTGAAGAGCTGCTTTTTGATCTGCTTGGAGGTTCATGGGTAACTATAAGTGGGATTATAAGTAGGGCAACTATAGTTATCAGCCCGATTTGGGGACTTATAACCCTACTTGTAACTACCCATGAACCTCCAAGTGGAGGGGAGGGGGATTTAGGGTGTACGGTATTGGAGTCTTCCGCTGTATCTGTAGGAGTCTTTGAAAGAAGGACTATGACTCTACCCCAAAATATTCACCAAAATCCTCTGCTAAGCATTCCCTTTTGAAACGCTGTTGCAAATATGGGGATATCCTTCATCTAAGTTATCGGACCCTTACTTGAATGGGCTGAGGTTTCCCGACTCTTTGTTTGCTCATCCAGTGCACGAGTGATGGCAAAGTTGGCATAAGCTCACTTACCCTTAGTTGAAGACAGCACCTTGGATGGAACCAGGCAGCGTCGGCTAGGCAACTGAGATGAGGCCACAGCCGATGAAGAATACAACTGGGCAGGACAATGCTAGAACTTTGTCCTGCTACAAGTGCATCTACGCAATGATTATTGGATGCCCTACGTATTACTATTTCGAAAACTACTGGTAACTAGTACTGTTTCTACCCATATTACCATTACTAGTCGGGGATGGGGTAGTGCCCTGGTGGCAAAATGCGGCGAGACTTGGCCAGACAGGCAAGAGCGAGAGAGCGAGAGAGAGAGAAGAAAAGGGGTGTCGCGCTGGGTGTAGGCTTTGGACTTACCTATGCAGTTCTGGGGGTTCCTTAGTAGAACTATATAGTAGATATAGTATACTGGGCCCCAAAACCCTATTCTAATTATTAAGGCCCCTGTATTACCTTAAATTGCTTTTTGCGGGGTCCCGGTCCGTATAACGTCGACATGATAGGGTTAGTCAGAAGACCCTACAGAACAGTAGGTTGTGGTAGCGTATAAGGTACATAATCAAGCCATCTAAGGTGCTGGTGGCTTGAAGTATATCCTAAACCCTACCCAGAACCATGAAACCCTCATCTGCGGCCCTAACATTTTTGTCCGGTCAGTATCCTACAGGGAACTAAAGGATGCTGGGGTTGTCGTACCCCAAACCATTAACTCTTACCTATATCCTCTACTACTGAGAAAGGGTGTCAGGCTTCGGGTGTATGGGGGTGAATGTGTGCGGAACCTTTAAAATATGACCATGACCATGCCGAGGCACATGTCACCACGAGCCAAATCACATAGGCAAACAAACCTTGGCAGCCGGTGCTGGGTGTTCTTTCTGTCTCCCTCAGAGTTTGGGGCTTTGCGTGTGTTAGGGCTTAAAGTTCCATTCACCTGCTTCTCTCTCTCTCTCTCAAGATTTATGGGTTTGAGGCTTCAGAGTTCAGAGCTCCCCCTGAACCTCGGTCCCATCATCTCCACAGAACCATCAAGAACGACAACATGTGAAGAGCCCAGTCGCCTCGCTAATGTAGGAGCCTGGTTAAGAAACCTTCGGCCTTTCTTCGGGTTCCTTTATATGAATCCTGCTCTTTTGGGGTTATAATAGGCACAGGATTTCTTAATCAGGTTCATACATTACACCCTGAGCCCAAACCTCCAAACACGAAATCCTCCATGTCGCCACAACCTGAACACTCAAAGACACACTGGTGCCACCAAGCACGCGACTGCCCCGGCCAGCCAGCAACGCACAGTTGGCGTCCAACCAGCTCATGCCTACTTGCAGGTTCACGGGTAATAAGTGGAGTTATAAGTAGGGTAACCATAATCCATAACTCCTATTAGGGGACTTATAGGCCTACTTGTAACTTGTAATTACCCATGAACCTCCAAGTAGCCCGGGGGACCAACAACTCGTCCTCAGCTTCGGTGGTTTTGATCGGGACTTCTGGCTCCTTTATCCATACTGAACCTAGACCCCTAGCAAAAATTATGCTTTCAGCTGTTTCTTAGGGATTGTAATAACCAAATATTACAAGTTATTTCTTTGCACCCCAAAATTGTAGGATTGAGGGTGCTTGTGTTACAGATTCCCACGCGGGGTTTGGGGTTTCGGACTTTCCAAACTCTAATGCAGGGCTCTGCTTGATGCTGGTCCCAAAGCATGTTTCACGGTTTGGGGTACTCAGGGTATTAGGATGTTTGGGTTTTAGGCATTAGTGTTTGGGATTTAGCGGCTGATTTCTGAACTTTGACACAAGTAGCTCGGGTTCGGTGCCTGAAGAAACGGTTTAGTGAGAACTGCGGCTCGTGGTCTCGACGTGGAGACCGCGAGAAAAGCCAAATTCACTTCAACATCTTGGCAACAAGGACGTGGTTAGCTTTAGGGCTTAGGGTTTAAGGTCCAGGGCCGTCTATAGGTTCTAGGTTTTAGTTCCAGCTGAAGATGCAACCTTCGGTCCTACATCTCATAGTCATAGTGCTCAGACGTAGAGCCATAACCCTGAACCCAATTTCAACCTTCGTCTCGAAACCACACCCTACTTAGCCAGTATCCTGGGAAACTGAAAGTTAGCCTTTGGAGGTATGTTAGGACGATAGCACCGCAAAAATACAAGGCTTTTCTACTCTACTACTAGGCCGCAGTTGCGGAACTCTGTTCGGGAACCCTAACGACTAGCATCACTAGCTATTCAGAATTCATATGATTCATATATACCTCTCCCCTGTCAAACAAAAAACGCCACAGAACCCTTACAGGAACCGTCGAACCGTCTGCCCCCTATGTTAACCCTAGACCGTAAACGCCAGTAAACACCAAGCTAGATCCGTAACTGTAAGGGTAAAAGGAGGGACCCTTAATAAGGACCCCTAGGTATATACCCTTAATATAGCTATTTTATACCCATTATATAGCCCCATTACAGGGTAGGGGTCCCCATTAAGGGTCCCTCCTTTTCCCCTTGGCCTGAACTAAACCCTAAACCGTATAGATCCCTTTACAGGGACCCTTATAGATCCCTTCAAAGGAACCCTAAGAGCCTAGGGGTCCCTCCTGTTCCCCTTTGAGCAACTTGGGAGCCTTTCCCAAAGAAGTAGGAGCTGGCGAAGTCGAAGCCTTCGAATCGCGTGCTCATTCATTGGAAAGGCGCATTTGGAGTTTAGCGGTTTAGGGTTTAGGGGTTTACAGTAAACCCGGATTAAGGCCAATTGGAGCTGGGATTTGCTTTACATTGCTCTGAAGGATTGAGGCTGTTGGGTTTCCAACTTTTGGGCTTCTACTGTAGTTTAGGGCTGGAAGGCGCGAATGCTTAGCATTTGCACCTTTGAACCAACGACCAAATCCGAACCACACACGTCACACCTTTCATGCCCTCTGATCGAATAAGCCAGGAAGATGCCTCGGTGTCAGAAAGCCCACAGCCCTTGACGAGGATCCCCAATAACCAAAGTATAGAAAGGGTGCGCTTGTTGGTATTGGGTACTTAGTTTCACAAGGAACCCATGACCGAATACTACAAACCAAACGGGGCCCACTGGGAGACCTAGCTGAATCTCAAGCCTGAAACCGGAACATTGCACGCCTTACATCTTGCCAAGGGAGCGCAAACTAAGCAAGCCCGGAAGGCCCCCACCCATATTTCTACAAACGCTGATAACCAACTCTTAAAGCAACCTGAATCCGAGAATCCTCACGGACATCGCTCAATGCCAACACCTGCACCGTGAACTGTCACAAGCACCAACTGTGGCCAAGATTCCCTGAACTCAAAAAAATGAAAGTTGCTAACTCCGCTACCAAGCTCAAACCCGTGAACCTCTACCAGGCACCCCAACTAGACCCTAAACCCTAAACCCTAAACCCTAAACCCTAAACACGGTTTAGGGTTTAGGGTGTACTAGATCTTGAACCCTTAATCTGGCACGCCGAGTGCAAGGCTGCCGGACACCAGGAGCCCCGTCAGCAATGAGCCAAAACCCTGGCCGTCGAAACAAATTGGGATTCAGTTATTATTATTATTATTACTATCATTATTATTGCTAATATTATTATTATTCTTACTATTCTTATTATTATCATCTTTATTATTACTATTATTATTAAGGGGCTTAAGGATTAGGCCCTCAACCTGAAACACAACCAGTGCTTGGGGCCTTGGGCTTGCAGTTGGGTTTTGGAATGTCGAGATTTCAACACCGTTTTCCAGGGCTTTCTTAAACTCCTGTTGTGGGGTCGCCTAAACCCTAAACCCCCACACCCTACCTTAACCGCCTTAACCCTGGATAACCTACCTTTTTAGGGTTCCGAAAAGGTAGGTTATTTCGGGTTAAGGTAAGCCCTAAACCAGCCTTCGAAACATCTCTCGGCCAGACGGTCGGTCCGGAGGTGGCACTACTCCACAGAGTCCCAAGCCCACACCCCAAAACATGTCTAAATCGATCCGAAGTGCCCCAGTATCCCCTCAAGCGTATCCCTGCTGTCCGACTATTCTGGGGGCGTTAACAAGTATCCCTTCCTACTTTGGGGGCTCCTTCTTATCAGAACAGTGTTATTAGACTATAATATAACCCCCCCATTCTCACTATTTATTAAGGCCCCCAAATCATCCTTTCTTTTCCGACTGCTGAGCTTTAGCAAGGATTCCCCGGCAAGCATGGCATCTGGGGGATCTAGCCGAATCGAATCCGCAGGGAAACGCATGGCAACTCGGCCGAATGCAGCGCAATCACCAGTGCATCCGGGCCCACCCTTGGCACTGGATACGTCGGCGGCGTGGGGTCTAGAGTCTAAACCCTGAAGCCTAACCCTAAATCGTCAAACCCGCAACCCTATAGAGTCGTTCGAGTGCTTCTGTCGTTTTGATGTAAACCTCCTCTCCCAAAACCGATGTCTGTCTTTCAGGTCTTCATGTCAAGGATCTTTACATGTCTTCTTCGGGGCTCCCTTCCCCGAACAAGCTTTCGAGTAAACGGCTAGTTACTTGAAACCCTTAACCCTGAAACCTTTTGCTTTTATTGGCTCATTTCCTGCACACCCTTTTGCTTTTGTGGCCTCGTCTCCTTTGACAAGATGGACTTACAAGTTCAAAAGCTTGAGGTTTAGGGCTTATAGGGTCAATGCTCAGGGCTTGAGGTGCCTGCTTTCAGGTTGTTTAGGGCTTGTACTGTAAGGTCTATAACCCTAAACCTAAACGCTAAACCCCAAAGCCTAAACACGAAGCCCTTCCGCGCGGTTTGGGAGTTTGGGGTTTGAGCTTCAGGTTTGGGCAGAGGGCGGTACGGCAGGGCAGGGCAAAGGGGGTAGGGCGGACAGGGCAGGGCAGCAGGTGAAGCCGAACACACCAACCGCCTAACCGCCTTCACTATTCAACGTAGCATAACCCCGCGACCTCGTAGGTGGTCATGACGATGGCATTGCTTCATTTGGTGCCACTATCGTCTATTTAAAATTTACTTCGAAGGTGCCAGCACACGGTGTTGGTTGCCACGAAGAAGGCTGCTTGTGTCGCATGGTGAAGACTTTCGGACAAGGCTTTCCGTCGGTTTCGCGGAGCCATGTGGGAGTTTCTGAAAATTAGGGGTACCTTCTTTTGGGGTCCTTATAATTGGGATCCTACTATTTAAGGTACTATATTAGGGTCCCCTATTCTCGGAAACTCCCATGTCAGTTTTTGATCCAGGTTTTCGGGCTGAGGTTCTCAGTCTGACCTCGTGCGACTGGCGAGCACAGCCTGGTCGTAGTAGAGCTTCAACATCTTCTCAGCCTCCTGACCAAATCGGAACATCGTCCCTTGGTGCAATGGAACAGTCGTGCAATACCAGCTGTATGGGTTGAATGGGTGACTAGAGGCACCCCGTTTTCAATGCCAAAGTGCACGCCTTCCGCGCGAGCTTGTTGAGTCTAGGCTCTTCGCCGTGAAATGTCATCGGATGTTGTATGTGGCGGCCTCTGGGAGTGCACAAGTTGGCTGTCAAGGTATCGTATACTCGTAAAAAGGAACCCCCAGGACTAACATTGGTAACCATCCCAACCCTACATGTTCGGAGCTCAGTAGGGAGAGAGCTTGAAGGATGGAACCCTTGAACACTCGCACCTTCCCACTACCCCCACAGTACCAGGACCCTTTAGTAGAGGCCTTCTGGTCCTTAACTAATGGTGGGTACTTAGGCTATACTGAACTTAGAACCCTAATAAACATGGTAATTTTAGCTGTTTCTTAGCGATTATGATAACCAAAAACTAAAAAAATCTAAGTACCCCGAAGTAGGCTCTTATAGAGAGTAGTTGGGGGTTGAGGTTCGCCCTAGGCCCCAAAATCATTGGCACAACTGGAGTGTGCTGATCGAAGAGGAAGTCGAACCAAACGTGACAGCCACCCAAGCAAGGGGTTTAGGGGTTAGGGTTTAGGCTTCGGGGCAGGCGGGCTAAAGTGAGAGGCAAGATGCAAGATGCAAGAAGGAAGGGGTGCCACACTAAAGCCCGAAGCAGCTCACCAAAGCTGCAGGGGTTTAGGCTTTAAGGCTTGCAGGAAAAGGGTTCGAGGAACCCTAAACCCAAAACCCCGAACCCCAAAACCCTGAACCCTTCGGGCTTTGAGATACAAGCATGGGGTCTTCCATGGCGAAGCACTTCCAGAATCCCAAACCCGCAAGAGTTTCTTAATCAGGTTCCTACATTAGGGGATGGTTCCCTATTGTTTATAGTACCCCCAAACCCAATAAGGCCCAAGCCTCCTAAACCCTGAAGCTACTAAGTTCTGAGCCTTCCAAAGTTTGCAACTAAGCCCCGAATCCTTTAGCTAACCTCCCCACCCTGAACCCTAAACCGTAACTCACAAACCGTAAGCCCTAAATGGGAGCTTGCGAAAATAGGGGGCCCTAATATAGCACCCCAAGTAACAAGGATCCTTATTGAACTGACCCGAAAACAAGGTGCCCCTCAATTTTCGGAAACTCCCATATCGCCCTGCGATCCGACTGTGGCTGCGACACGCCAAAGACGCCCACAAGCGCCGCGAGGATGGCTATGGTGAGCCTCAGTGAACTTGAAGTTTCGGGTTTAGGGTTTAGGAAGGATCATAGGACAAATTATATATGCTTCAGTCGGGGTCGAAAAATTCGGTATCTCGGGTTATTGTCCGCTGTATATGCCTGTAACCATACGTAGAACTTCGGGCAGAACTTTGATTTTGCGCCTACTTTGCGGATCCCATGGGCCTCAGCGTCGGAGCGCCTCGGGATCACCATAGAGCAAACAAATTTCCAGCTCACCCTTTGCTAGGGCGCGCACTCCAAGCAAACCCTGCACGAACAGGTCGTGGTTTTGGGAAATGTGTTTCAGTCATCAGCCGTCATAGACCGCAGTCTAACGTAGAGGGGGCCATGGCAGTTGCAAGTGCAAGTGTAAGTCTGCAGTTCAACCACCTCCAAACACCTGCAAGCAGGAAAACCACGCAGTATAACCCAAGCAACACAGAGTCCCTGAAAGGACAGTTGCTCAACACCGTCACTTCGGCTGCGCATTCCGAGGCTTGTGCTGCCAATGCGACGAGACGAGCCACACCTGAGATTTGCAGGTTTCATGTCTTACAGTTGATCCTTTAATTACTCGGGTCCGTAAACCCTAGATCCTAAAACCTAAATTAATACCCCAAACCCTTAACCCTAAAAACCCTACATCAATACCCTAAACCCTTAAAACCTAAATCAGTGCTCTAAACCCTCAGCCCTAATACCGGCTCCAGGGTCTTTATCGGATTTGAAGAAATCTCTGGGCTCACCGGTCACAGGGTAAAAGGAGGAACCCTTAACAAGGACCCCTAGGTAGAGAACCTTAATATAGCTATTATATACCCATTACATGGTCCGTTACAGGGTAGGGGTCCCCATTAAGGGTCCCTCCTTTTGTCCTTGGAACCGGGCTCATGGGCAAAGCCCTGCACTATCCGTCACGAGACAACTATTCTAGGGGCCTTAGTAATTAGAATAGGGTTCCGTTAAAGGGTTCCTCTGAAGGGTTCGATAAGGGGTCTATACTATGGGGCTCTATGATATACGGGCCTTAATGGTTAGAATAGGATTTTTAGGGGATACCATTACTATAAGGAACCCCCGGAATAGTATTTTAATGATATAACACCCAAGCTCCGACAGGATCTGCATACCAGCAGCAGTTCAGGGATATGGTTTTTTCGCAGGGTCCTAAGCCCTAGAGCTGGGAAAAACTCTGGGGTTGTCATTTGAAGGACTTTTGGACTTTTTCAGGGCTCACAGTAAGGAACTTAGCATTCTGGCATGAAAGGTGTGTTGAGGGGCTTAGGGCCTAGGGGGCTACGGCAAGCGGCTAGGGCTTTGGGGTTTAAGATTTTGAGACGGCAAGTTCAGGTTTGGGGACTCTGCACTGTCGGGTTGAGAGGCATTTGCAATCTAAGGGCGTCCCAAATCTTAAACTTAAACACAATCCCGACACACACCGAAGGTCCTAGTAGCTTAGTAGAACATGCTCCGATTACAACCGGACCCTCGCCGTCATCTCACAGAATCCCCAGAACCCCGCTCTCCCTTCCAAATCAAACACGCGACAACACCCGAAACCACAAAACCGAAACCATAAACCCTAAACCCTCGACCCCCTCTTCCCCCTCCAACAACCTTTCTACGCCTCTCAATCCCACCAGCCCCCGCCTTTCTAAGTGTCCATGCACCACCCTCAAAGCAATTGCTTCCAGGTGTATGTATGTATGTGCACATCTATATATATATATATATATATATATATATATATGTATGTAGATATATATATGTATGTAGATATATATATATATATATATGTATGTAATGTATATTTGTGCAAGCATTTATGTATGTATGTATGTATGTATGTATGTATGTAGGGATGTATGTACATGTATTTGTAAGTCAATACATATACTCAGTGCATACATATATAATATGTACATACATACTTACATACATACATGACAAATCCACAAACAAGCCCTGTGCCCAAGGCCCTCGCAGTAACTGGTCCGTTCCCCGCGCTCTGGAGAGAGGCTTGGAGGTCCTTTGCTGGAGTTTGAAGTGATCCATACGGGTAACCAGAAGGGCTTACTCCAACTTACTATCTCCAAGGCTTACTACTTGCTTAAGGTTATTGAAATATTTGACCTAAGGGTCTAAAGCTCAGCTTGAGCTTTGGGCATGTTTGTCAAGATGTCGCATTGATGCTCAGAATTTGGGGCTCCGCGTGTCTCCATTTACCGAGATTCTGGACTCGAGTTGCGGTTCGGATTCGGAGTTCCGTGTCCTCTCCACGGAACCCCGGATCCGAAACCTTAGCAAAGCGTAAACCTCATACTTTGGGTACCACCCCCACTTAGTAATAGTTGAATAATATTATATTAATATTCAGAATATAGATATATTAGGACCTTAATAGTAGCCCCATTATAGACTCTTACTGTATGGGGGCAGTACCTAGCTGATTCTACCCCTTTCAGCCCCAAACCTTCCGAATTCTCTTGCCCAGACCCCTAAATGCACCCAAAAAGGCTAAGCTTTTCAATTACGGCAAGATTCTATCAACCCCAAACAGTTTAAGAGTACCTGTCCATCTACTAATAAGGTAAAGAGTTAAACTTTTAACCCCAAGCCTTAAACCTCGAATTCGACCTCAAACCTTAATCCCTATAAGCCCGCAACCCTCAACCTTAAAAACCCTAAGCCCTAAACCCTGATATAGGGGCCTCATTCATCAGAATAGGTTTTGGGGCCCATTATACTATGTTTCTAATAAGGAACTCCAAAAATAGTATTGCTAATTATTGAGGCCCCAAACCCAAACCCTAAACCTTAACCCTATAAACCCTCAACCCCATAAACCCTAAGCCCTAAACCCTAAACCTTAACAAACCCTAAACCCTAACATACCCTGAACAACCTTGAACCCTAAACCGTAACAAACCCTAAACAACCTTAAACGGTTTAAGTTAAACCCTAAATCCGGTAAACTTCGGCAGAGGTGTCCTTTGTCCGGAAAGTGGAAACCCCAAACCAACCAGGACTTCTAGGGCTTCTGTATAAATGAATGGATACACCTATATATATATATATATATATATATATATGTATATACATATGTATAGACAGTTAGTTGAGGGCCCTTTTGTTTTTGTTAAGATGCAGTGGCCTTTCTCCCGCGCGAACAGGGTCTGTGACCTGCCCTTTTGGGCTTATAGGGTTTAGGGTTGATAGGTTTTTAGGGCTTTTATGGTCCAGGCTTTAAGGGCTTACCGTGGCCAGCCGAAGGCTTGGGGTGCAAAGCATCGTTGAAGGAGCTGTGCAAGATCAAAACACGATGCGCTGGTTGGGCTTTGGTTTGGGGCCACTGCACCTCAAAACCCAGGAGCCCCGAAACCCAAATTTCTCAAACACGACATGTAAATTGAATCCCCCTTCCGAAGCACCATTACGCCAACATCTAAACACGCAAGCTGAATGATGCAGCCCCCCAACCCTCAACCCTAAAACCTGCCTAAAACCCTCAAACCCAGCCTTAAACCCTAAAGCCCTACACCCCCCCTCCCCCACCCTAATCTCTCAACCCGAAACTCTAAAATCTGAACCCTAAATTACTAAACTCCCCCCACCCTAGGACAGTCCCAGGCGCCTTTACCACCTGCTTCTCGTTCTCGAGTTCCTGAAAACCGAAAGCTACCTACCTTAAGCTACTAAAACCTGCTTTTTTGTAGGGTCCCTATAAATTCCATATTAAGGTTCATAATTAGAACCTACAAAAAAGTAGGGTTTGGCAGGTTAAGGTAGAGGCTCATACCCCACCCCTTTTTTAGGATATCTGGTCTTATGGTTAGGATCTGTTATCTTAAAAAAGTAGGCGCCCTATGAGCCTCTAGGTAGGAACTTGGGCTAAAGGTCCTGGGTCTAGGGTTTAGGGTTTAAGGGGATCAAGTTTGTAGGAACCTGATCTAGAAACCTTGGGTTCTTTATTTGGGTTCCTTGTATGAATCCTAAAAGGTTTGGGGTTCTAGGGCTAGGGTTTCTCATTCAGGTTCCTACATTCCAGGCCTTTTAGCTCTTTACTCTGGGGATCAAACTGCGGCATCAGCGCCGGTTAAACCAGCTCTGCCCTTTCATCCATACTTGGATGTTCGTGGGTAGTTACAAGTGGGCCTATAAGTAGGGCAACTATAGTTACAAGCCCTACTAGGGGGCTTAGAACCCTAATCACAACTACCCATGAACCAGCAAGTAACCTACTAAACCGGTGGGTTTGAGGATACGGGTATGGCTTAAGGGTTCAGGACTTCCGTTCTCAAGGGTCAGGGCTTGTGGAAGATTCAGAGCCTATGGGCACGCAAGACTCAAGACTGTATGTGGGTGGTTGTCAAAATTAGGGTCCCTTTTTGGGTCCCTATTATAATGCGGCACCTAATATTTAGGGTGCCAAAAAGCGACCTAATTTTGAGAACTACCCATGTGTATTTCAGGGTCGTCTGCTTCAAGTCAAGCCCACACCAAACCTTTTCTGCAGGCACGGAAGCGTGCACCAGGGTGTGGACCAGAGACTGCTCGATCCGGAGGTGTTGAACCCGAAACCCTGAAACCCTAAAACCCTAAACCCTAAAACCCCAAAACCCCAAACCCCTAAACCCCTGAACGTATACACCCTAAACCCTAAACCCCTAAACCTGAAACCCTACAACCCTAAACCCTGAACCCCTAAACCTGAAGCCCAAAGCCGTGCCGAGCAACCTCGAAGAGACTCGCGAGCCGCGCCCTGTGGGAATCAAGCTTTCGGTTGCCGTTGCCCCCTCATAAAACAAAGACAGGAACCCTTAAAGGAGCCCCTAAAGGGTTAAGGGTTTCTGGGTTTTAGGGTTCAGGGCTTCAGGGTCCTTTGAAGGAGCACGTAAATGAACCCGGGAAGGCACATGCGGTTCAGGGTTTAGGGTGAGGGTAGTATGGAATACCTTTTATGGAATTGGACTGGTACTTGGGCTCAAATAAAAGGTAGTTGGGGGATGCTGCTGGGGTTTAAGGTCTGGCTCGATGGTTCTGAGCTTTTAGCGCGTCCTGAACGATGGCCTCTACCTGGACCCTGAGGAACCTACCTTTTTAGGGCTCCTTAATATGATTTCTTTATGTAAGTCCTTTAAAAGGTAGGTTACTTGGGGTTAAGGTAAAGCTGAGTCGGTAAAACCTAAAACCTAAACCCTCGATGCTAGACTGACAACCTCATACGCCCCTAAACCCCCAACTCCGAAATCCGGAACCCGAAAACCATACTCAATACGAGTATTGAAAGTAACACTGTTATCGTTATCTCTATTCCTGTTCTTCTTATTGCGAATAGTGCAACACTATACTCATTATTATCCTTGTTATTACTGTTCTGCCCTAAACCCTAAACCCCTAAACCGACTGTTATTGGTACTGGTGTTCTGGCATAGTATTGGGGCATTTAAGATGAGAGCGGATTGAAGGTTTCGCCTTCGGGCTTGTTGCGCATGTTTCTGATTTGTGTGGCTGTCAAAACTAAGGTCCCTTGTTGCGTACCCATAATACTAGGTGCCGTATTATGATCGGGACCCTAAAAGGGATCATAATTTTGACAACCACCTATATCAAGTTTCTGCTTCTGCTTTTCTCCAGCGGCAGTTCGGAGGGATCACAATGAAGACCCTATTCCCTAGGACGCCCAGTAACCTAGGAATGAAAAGGGCTCCTTGTTTGGTATTGGGTAACTTTATAAGGAACCTAGGACTACAAACAGGGGAATGAGGGTACTACTGGGCCTCCTAGTATCCCCCTTAATTTCTAAACTAGGGCTTACCAACGGTTTGGGGTGGGTTTACAAATCACCAACAACATGTTTGGCCATGGGTTTAGGGTTTCGGGTTGCGAGATCACTAACAAGATTCTGTTGAAATCCGTAAAACTACTCAACTTTGTTGTCAGTGTGTATACGGGGTTTCGGTTTGGGACTTAGAGGTTGAGGGTCACAGAAACAGGGTTCCCATGGCATACCCTTCAGTTTCTCACCAAACAGACTCATCTCGGAAACTCAGGCGCAAGACGGAACAGAACCTATGACCTGCTGCAAAAGCCATTTCCCGAAAAGCTGCAGGTGGAGTGAGTCCTTAGTCACGTCTGTGAAACGCTATTTTAGCAACCGCGCACTTGAGCCAAAAGGTAACGTCAGTGTGAAACGACTGTACATGAGACCCATACCCAAACTATACCCCAAATCCAGTCACGCCTCCCGAGTAGGGATCACGCTTTGCTTTCCCTGCGAGTTCTTTGGGGTATTCCTTCACGCCTTTCCTAAGGCCAGCTCATGCTTTCCAGACCTGACGGTGTAGCCCATTCGACTCAATAGCTTCGTAGCAGTTTGGCCGTCCAAAGGCTTCGTCATGAGGTCTGCCAGCATGTCTTGCGTGTTGACCTTCTTCAGGCGTATTCTTCCTTGATCCACTATTTCTTGCACCCACAGATAGCAGGTGTCAATGTGCTTGACCTTACCCAGCCCTCGTCGCGAGCCGATGGATATGCCCGCGCTGGCATCCATAGCTATGTTGACAGACAGCTTTACACCCCAGTCCGCCATCATTGCTTGCTCGCCCAAAGCGGTTGAGGCTGTTGATATCAAGCCATAGTATTCTGCTTCTCCAGTGGACAGGGCAATCACAGCTTGCCCCTTGGCTGCCGTCTTCACCGTAGCTTCTCCGAGCTGGATCACGGTTCCAGTCGTGCTTTTCCTAGTCTTGATACACCCAGCGTGGTCACTGTCGGACCAAGCATTGATGCTTGTGAAATGCTCTTGATACGGGATCGATTGCACCAGCCTAGGAGATCCTCGGAGATATCTTGCAGCTCTCTTCAAGAGACCCCAATGGTGTTGTTGAGGTTCTTTCAGCCCTTTCGCCAACTCGCGGACGGTCCTAAGCAAGTCCGGCCTGTCCATAGACAGATAACCTATCCGCATAGCGATAGAACGGTACAGAGCTGCTTCAGCAGTACCAAGTGGAGTCTTGTCCATGTCCTCTTCTTTCACCTTGACCAGTGGAGTGGTCACAGAAACTCCTTTTTCCAGACCCAGCTGTTCCAGAACTAAGTCCACATGTCTTGGGTCGGCTTCCATCTCGATGCCTTCTTGGGTCCACGTTACTAGGCGATTCAAGACAGAGATCTGATGAATCACGCCTGGCAGCTCCGAACCGGGTCTAGCCAGGATGCCTCTTGTCTCTACTGTCCAAACCTTGCCCAGTTCAGCCTCTAGCCACTTGAGCTCTTTGTAACTTCCAACCACTGTGAAGTCATCTCCATGGACGTTGAGTCGCAAAGATTTCTCCTCGTGGAAGTACAGGCATGGGTTGCTTCTTCCTTGCTTGAAGCCCAAGCCCTCCAGAGCATCCTTGATGGCCTTCTCCCAATTGGAAGGTGCATCCCTGGTCCCATACAAGGAACGCTTCAGAAGTCCAACCTTGTCTCGTCCCTCTCCAGCTTCTGGTGGAAGCTCCACAAGGAGTCTCCGACGCACAGGGCTCCAAAAGTGAGCTTTCTTCACATCCAGAAACATGAGGCAGACTTCGCCTCCAGACCCAACGGGTGACAGCTTTCCCCGAGTGTTGGGTACACGCTGTGTAGTCGCTAAAGAGAATAGCGCCCGAAGAGAACTGAGCGGCGGCATTGCAGCGAAGAAATCGCTCCAAGTGGACTGGTCCTCTGGTTGTTGCGGTCCGCGGGCTCTTTTGAGTTCCTGAGCGACAAGCCTGGATCTCAGTTTGTGACGGGCACCATCCCCCTTGTTGATGTCCACCCATCGCGTACCGATCACCTTCTCGTTTGCAGGACGGGGTATGACTTCCCACACTCCCATCTGCCTGATGACGCTCACTTCCTCTGCCCGGGCTGCTTTAACACCTTCAGCTGGAAGCTCTTTCCCGGTGAGGTCGTCGTAGAAGGTCTCCGCAAGAACCTCTTCCACTAAACCATCAACCAGGTCGCAGGTAGGCTGTTCGACTCCTTCCAGGGATTCAATCCACGCCTTTCGCTCTCCAGCAATAAGCGTCTCAATCATTCCCTCGACGTTTTCAGCCTTGCGCTTAGAGCCTTCTGCTCGGTCCTCTGCAGGCCTCAGCTCGGACCTCTCTTGGTCTCCAGGGTCCTCGCTCTTCCGTTTGCTCGCCGAAGCAGCTTCCGAAGCGGTAACTGCTGGCTTCTTACTCTCTCGCGAAACGGAGACAGGCTCTGCTTTAGAGGGTTTCCTTTTCTCCACTTTCTTTGCTGCTTGCTCTGGTGGCCTGCTAGGTTGGCTGGGCTCGCTCGCCTCTGCACTTCCTGCCTCAGGCCTTTTCTCCTTCTCTGTTGCAGCCTTTCTCTTCTTTTCTTCTGCCTCGTGGACTTTCGTGAAGTACTCGGTCTCGCGCTGAGTCTCTCGCTCTAGGCGGGCTTGGCCCCGAGAGGTGTCCTTCAGCGCCTCTTGGATCCGCTTCCTACACGTCTCGTTGTGGTTGATACCTTGGCGTTCTCTGCCTTCGCGAATGGCGGCACAGGCTTCACAACCCCCAGTATAGCCAAACTGCTCCAGGTCGCTTTGTCGGATGTACATTCTCCGATACGTAGGCAACCGTTCGGCTTCTCCAGGTTTCGGTGGAAGCTCTGCTTGCTCGACCACAGGCTCTATCACGATAGGCTCCGGGAGTCTGTCTGCATCGGCGTTCGTGCTCTTCTCGGGATTAGGCTGCCAGGGAGTTCCTTTCACAGCCTTCAGCATCTCGAGATTGAACTGCTTGTCTGCAGGCTTCCTTCGGATAGACTGCACCACCAGGATACCCGAGGGCGTCCCGATAATCTTCTCCGAACTCGTAAGCCGCAGTCCTAGGTAGACTCCTTCTTGCCATCTGGCATCAAGCTTGCTTTTCGCCCTTCGGCGATAGTCCACGATTTCTCCAAAGCTTGGAAGAGCTACTTGCCAGGTTCGGCCCTTCAGCTTCTGAAACGGAGTCATGCCCTCGCTGTCCTCTTGAGAAAACAAGGTGTGGAGCACCCCTGCGTACTCGATCATCCAAGGGAAGATAACCGAGTCCTTAGGTAGTTCTCCTCCAGCATTTTGCTCCAGGGCATACTTCATCGTGCGCACTTGTCCCTGCACACGTTGCACTGCATTCTCAGCTGTGCCGTTGCTTTGCCCGTGAGAGTCTCCCTTGGGCGACTCTTCCAGAGTCAAGTCCTCTGGAAAACCAGCTTTCACAGCTGCCCCCAATGCCTTGATCGCGTTCTCTTGGTCTGTCTTAAGAACCGAGCGCTTGTACCCCAGCCAGTTCAAATCTCGAAGCACCGCCTTTTCAGGATAGGTCGAACCCACCGTCCCTTTAGTTGGCAGCAGATGCGAGAAGATGGCCTTTGAGGCACGGTCCCTCAAGACAACTGTTGGCAGGCTTTTTCCCGGTACTCCCTTCTCAGAGAAGTACAGGTAGTCAGCTGATACCACAGGCACTGTGGAGTCTCGGCCCTCGTGGTGGTGCGAGTAGGCTCGCCCCCGTCCAGCTACACATGCTGGGCACCACGATCGGTAAGGGATATGTGTCACCTCGTGCTCAGCAACCATTTGAGGCGTGGGCACAGGCGGTGCTCGAAGTGGCTTCGCACGCTGTGCTTCTTCGCCTCCTGGCTGGGCGGATCCCGAAGCGGGCTCCGCCTGGCGTGGCTCACCATCCCCAAACGGTCGGGCCTCGTCCTCTTCACCGTCAGAGTGGATCGGGAACACCTCCGGCT